AATCACATGCATATTAATGGCTGGTCTCTTCTTACCAATAGCTGAAATAATTGGATTGATTATTTATCATCAACTTAATTGTAAAAATGATCATGATAAATCAATGTACAATTAGTCTTAAACTAGTAATTTATGTAATAAGCATCCTTTTCATATAAAAAAGGACATCATATTTGCTATGCAAAATGCAGACTGATACAAGAGGTATTGCTAAATTCAAAGACTGAAAAATCTATTGTGGATAAGTGTATTGGTTAGATAATAGTATATTCATATATAAGAGATAGTGAGAAAGTTGTTTAAGATCACAAATAAATGACATTCCAGGGAAAATCCACTTAAAATGTCTCACATCTAAAGGGTTACTTAGAAGATTTTGCTCAAAAATATGATCTAAAGTATAAAACATAATAAAATGCATGTGGGTGAGACTGATGCTTTATGACTAATATGTAAGTAACCCCATAAAAATTTTAAAAATTTCATTTTGAATACTATTGATGAGATAGTATTCCATATGTACCTTTATAGTTAATAATGAATACTAAATCTTACCAATTGGCATGTCTAAAAGGGTACAAATCTCCACTAACAATTAGAGTCTACAGATAATCCAAAATTGAGTAATCTAAATTAAGATTTAGTATAACTATAAAACATGCCTACATTTTGAATATTTGTTTTTAAATAGATAATGTAAAATATAACTATTTTTTTGTTTAAAAGATAAAATTTTGGACATATTAATGAAATAAAATATTGCTAAATATTGGAAGATAATTTCTTGCATTTATTCATAATAAAATAATTTTATCCAATTTTTGCTTTTAATATAGCAACTAGATCATGTTAAATTGCATTTATAACTTTCAATGTATTTCTATTGAGCTACACTACTCAGAACACTTTATTTGAACTTAGAGAATATATTTCATCATGAGGTGTTAGATTTTAAGATAATACTCATTTTAAAATGGCCATATTTATATATATGACCTAATGCATCACTATTTAGTGTCTATTTATTTTCAGCAATAAAAAACTTCCTACTTCTAACAAAGCTTGAGAAATTCCCAATCCTAAACTTATCTTTATTTAGCCTACTGTTCAGTCTGTGAATACTTTCAACCTGTTCACTTAGAATATTCATTTTGGAAATACAGTCATAGTTTTTAATCTCTAACCTGACTAGTAGTCTTTTACAAAATGTAGTTTTACATCAAGAAGTCTAGACCCTGCGCATTTTGCTAAAAAAAAAACAAAAACAAAACAAAAAAACAGTGTTCAAGTTTTTACTGTTTGTGTGAATTTGTATTCATTTTTGTAGTAGTGTTGTCTAAAGTATTTTTACATTAGTACTTAATTGTTGGTAGCTTTTTGTTGTTTTAATTTGGGTTTTACTTTTTGTATATGATATCATGCTCTTTGTATCTTTTATCCCATTGTTGATATATTTTTCATATGAATTGCAGTGCACCAATTAGATGTTTTCAATTTTCTGTTTGGAAATTGTGCATCTTAGAAGACAAATAGCTCAGGGTAGAGAGTTTGAGTACCATGTAAAATACTATGGATTTGATCTCAAGCAGATATATATATATATCTTACTAAACTCCTTACAACATTCATTCTGCTATGCCATTTCAGTGCTATAGTAATGTCTACTTACTTGTCTAGAAAATAATAGTTTGGAGTACCTATTCCATAGCAGAAATAACTCAAGATATAAAAAAACAAACCTATTTTAAGAGATAGTATATCTTGTCTCACTGATTCTGAAGTTATTTCTCCAAATAACTACTAATAAAAATACACACGCCTTTAATCCCAGCACTCGGGAGGCAGAGACAGGAGGATCTCTGTGAGTTTGAGGCCAGCCTGCTCTACAAAGCGAGTTCCAGGAAAGGCACAAAGCTACACAGAGAAACCCTGTCTCGG